TTAGCAAATTGAATTCAACAGCACATTTAACACACATATACACACCCACCAAAATCAAGTGCGTTTTATCCCAGGGATACAAGGGTGATTCAACATATGCAAGTCGATAAACGTGATCCACTACATGAACAGAATTAAAAACAAAAATCACACGATCGTTTCAATAGATGCAGAAAAAAGCATTTGATAAAACCCAGCATCCCTTCACGATAAAAACTCTCAGCCAAACAGGCATAGAGGGAAGATTCCTCAAAATAATAAAAGCTATATATGACAAACCCACAGCAAATGTCATCCCGAATGGGAAGAAAGCTGAACACATTCCCGTTCAGAACTAGCAAGGCACGGATGACCATTTTTGCCACTACTGCTTAATTTAGTACTAGAAGTCCTAGCCAGAGGAATCATGCAAGAAAAAGAAATAAAGAGAATCTAGATTGGAAAAGAAAAAATTAAATTATCTCTGTATGCCAACAATATGGTCTTATACCTAGAGAACCCTAAAGACTCTACCAAAAGACTCCTGGACTTGATAAATGAATTTTGTAAAGTTTTGGGATACAAAATCAACACACACATCAGTAGCACTGCTATATATCAATGGCAACCAAGCTGAGAATCAAATTGAGAACTCAATTCCATTTACAATAGCAATCAAAAAGCTAAAATACCTAGGAATATATTTAACCAAAGAGGTGAAAGGTCTCTACAAGAAGAACTACAAAACTCTGATGAACACTAGCAGTGGTTTAGAAAGTAACTTTTTATAGAAATTATTAATAAAATCAGGAACTTAGGACTCAGCCAGGACAGTCTGATTGCCCTCTTGCTTCTTCAAACATTAAGTATCCTCTGATGTCCACTGATAGGAAGTCAGTGTGCTGATAGGACAAGGTACTATCCTAGAGTCCTAGCTACATCTCTTAGACTCACCAGCCATATTTTTTTCTTGGACTGGCCTTGAATTCCTCATCTGCAAAATGAGTGGGCTAAATGAACTCTTTGAGGGTTCCTCTAAAATTTGGATTGTTATTCATATTAAACAAGAAGGAAGAAATAACAGTAACCACTGAGTCAATCATCAATGGCCTCTAGTATTTGGCTGAAGACCTCATGGGTAAGTCTCTCAGGCTCCATTCAAACAATTTGAAGGCTGAAGCCTGAGTTACACAGTCATTTTTTCCTGGCCTATCTAAGCTACATTAGTGAGACTGAAACCTCCCCTAAGATTTAACCCCCACAAATTTTTAATAAATATATGACTTAGTAACTCCTTAGGGAAATATTTGTTTGCATAGTCTTTCAGTCTTTGTTTTGCAATCCTTAAATCCAACAAAACCTATGATACGGGGGAGATGGATTTGAAATTTTTCATGTAGGGAAAGCATTCCTGGAATTATAGCAGAATTAGTTTTGGGAGGAAGGTTAGTCTATTTTTGTTCATTGTGTGGAACACATGAGTATTTGACTTGGACTTACATACTGAATCCTCCTCCCTTTCCCTCAAGTCTGTGTGCATGCATATAGATACTTGATGTGTGCTTCTGAAATTCCTGGGTCAATCTAAGAGTTGCTGAAGGGAAAGGCATTTCACAGATATGATGGCTTTGACCCAGACCAAGGGCGTGATTTATGCCATAGCAGTTTCGTGATGTTTGGACAACAGTCTAGCAAAATTCTGCTAAATATGATTTCAACATCATAAAAGGAAATGTAATCTGCTGGCTTTTATAAAACATAATCTTTTAACAGATACCAAAATCTGACTTTCTTGTTTCTCTTGTTGACAGCACATATACAGCCAATACTAAAGTTAATTAAATGCCTTCTTCAAATTTTCTATTTTTCTTTCAAATTGTCATGCTCTTTTTGTATTTTAACTGAATGGTAAACTACTTGACAATTTTTCAAACACAACAATGTATATCCCTGGAAGATGTTTTCGACCTTTTTCAATTCAAAGTGTTCAGTTTACCCTGGATTGTTCTCCATAATGCATCAATGAGATTATCCTAAGCCTTTAGATTCCATTCCTCTGGTTTAAAAAGAAAAAAAAAGTATTTATGTAATCTACAGTTTAACAACCCTTCTTAACAAATTCCTCATGCATATACAGTCAAGAAATTCACTTTGGACAGAGTTCACTTTTGTTTCTAGACCATGGTGCAAGTTACTCAATTTTCTTCTTCCTACCAACAGGTCCTGCTCTATGGAGGATTTTTTGGTCCTTTGAGTTTTGACAATTTAAGTGTCTTTTAAAAATTATGTCAGAGGTGAAAGATTGCTGACATTAACAATCCAATAAAGTTCTGAATTCCCTTTCTAAAGAAAAAGCAGACATTCTTGCCTTGCTGAAATTGGATGGACATACCCTTTTTATGATGTTTTTATTTTAAGAAACCAACTCTCAAGGTAGATTCTTTTTCAAATATTCAAAACTCTTCCAAAAACTATTTCATTTTTAATTGGTTTTCTATTGTCAAAACATTATAAAATAGAGAAATAACTTAAAAGCATAAAACTTCACCCATAATTCAGTTACATCAACAAAACACATTGGTACTTTTAGATGCTCTTTTCCAGTTTTTATTCAGATGTATAGTTTTCCATGGTTTAATTTTAAAAATGTAAATTTCATTAAAAAAATTTTTTCAATAGAAGATTGTATACATTTTTCAATGTATAATCATTTCAATAAAGGTATTATAATGTAATAAACTCCCTCACTGTATGGCATTTAAACTATCCTAAAGTTTAAGTTATTATAGAAAATGTTGCAAGAAGTTGCATTGTACACGTAATTTATTTTAAACTACCTTGGGGAGGTGACTCTTCTCTCTTCCTTCTCTTTCTCTAATCTACTTTTAAATAAACTTTTCTTTCTTAAAATAAATAAATAAATAAATAAATAAATAAAATTGCCAGTGGTACTGATCAGCAGGGGTATATTTTGGTAACTTTTGATTTACAGGAATAATTGCTTTCCAAGAAAAGGAACAGAAAGAATCACAATGTCATCAGTAAAACATGTGCATACCAATGTCACTAGTATTACCAGGATTGGGTCTTAGAATTAAAAAAAAAATTGAGCCGGGCTCGGTGGCTCAGCCTGTAATCCCACGCCTTTGGGAGGCTGAGGTGAGTGGATTGCCTGAGCCCACGGGTTCGAGACCCGCCTGGGCAACTTGGCGAGACCTCATCTCTACATAAATCAAAAAGTTAGCCGGGCATGGTAGCGCGCGCCTGTAGTTCCAGCTACCTGGAAGGCTGAGGCGGAAGGATCACCGGAGCCCAGCAGGTCGATGCTGCCGTGGCCAGGAGCGGCCTCTGCACTCCAGTCTGGGCGAGGGAGTGAGACTCCAACTCAAAAAAAAAAAAAAAAGGTAAATTTAAGTATAAAATTAACATTTTCTTCTTTTTTTTTGGTCTCTTTTACCAGGTACCCTTGAACCTTTTTTATTTATTTGTTTGTCATTTACTCTTCTTATGAATTACTTTTTTATGGGCTTAGCAAAATTTATCTATTAGATTCTAGATGCTATTTGTAAATGTGATTGAATTTTCTAAGTACGACAACTAAACTTTGATCTGTAATATCAGATGCAAATATCTTTCAACAGTATTTTTTAAATATTTATTAAATATTTACTTTGTTAATTTTACCTTTCCAATTATTCTAAATTTTGACATAGCTAAGTCCCTTGATGTTTACTGTTGCAAATCATTCTCTGCAGGCCTCCTCCAGCAACTGTCACATCTTCCACATTGAATGTTTGCAAGCACGTGTGCCTTTCTGATTCCTCAGTTCTTCTCCTAGTCACCTTCTCTCACTATTGGGTTTCATCATTTATTTTAGGTCCTTCTTTCTACTCCCTTTGTTCTACTCCAATTACACACACACACACACACACACACACTCCTGTCTGCTATGAACAACTAAAAGAACTCTGGACCTGAATAGTAAGTGTGAAGATGCCAGCAATGCCTATCTTGAACTCTAGCACTAAGCAGTTTTTGTGGGTCCCCTGATAACTAAGGTCACCCTGCCGGGCTCTTCTCTGCTGCCTGTCCTGCACCCATCCTCTGCCATCACTAACTTGTTTCTCCAACATCTTGCCCTCCTTTCACTACAACAAACAGAGCCCCAACTAATGAACATCTGCCCCTTCTCCCCTGCATCCTTGCTTCCTGCCTCTCATGCTCTTCTCAGCCCTGCCTTTATCAATGCAAGGCCCTTTCACTGAATCATATGAAACCTCACCTTTGTTAAGAAAAGTCTTCGTGTTCCAAGTTTCTTGCTTAGTTTTCTCTTCCTTATTTTAGCAAATACAGCTTTTCCTTCTCTTATCAATGCCTCCTAGTACAAGCTTTGCTTCCTCAGAATGCTTTTAGACCACCACCATAGCTACCGCTTAATGTCCCACCTGAAGTTACAGCATCTACTCACACATGGACCCCCACATTCCCACATATCAAATTTTAAAGTTTGTTCGTCCATCTAAATGAATTCAATATTTGGCTCACAGTAACCCACCACATCCTAGCTGTTTCTAATTTAATGGACCACAGTCTGAAAACTGATGGCCAGTGCTATCCTCCAAGTCTCTCAGTTTTCAGATCTCTAAAACAGTTTACAGTTTAGAGAATATATGACCAACAAATGGAAGCTAGAGTGACATTTCAAGAGAGAACAGCTCTCAGTGGGCCTGAGATGAATTCATTTAGTCACAGTATCAGAGTTCCACATATTGGAATTTGTTTATATTAACATTTTCCTGAGGTTGATGTATTCAACCTCAGCAATTAATGCTATAAAATCTTCCTCAAATATTTCTGGAAAAAGAGAGTATTTTTAAATTAAAATAAATAATCTAATGAAAACATTAAAATACAAATAGAGGGGAGAGGAGGGAAGTGGAGGAATCACACAAATAGCATAGGAGACTAGGATGTCTTGGAGATGAGGAAGAAAAGGAGACGGATCCTGGCACAGTACTCACCTGTGGTTGACACAACGTTTTCGTGACTTTCACTGCAGAGCTTTGACAACAGACTGGTCTTGCCAGAACCCGTGAGTCCTATGCAAACCAGGTCATATTCTGGTCGTGCGGGTGGCGGTCCCTTGCAGCAAAGTGCTCTAAAACACTGCCAAGAGAAGGGGGGAAAAGGTAGGTCTTTTAAATAAGATTGTGGAAACAAACCTTACATTTAAAATGACTAAATATTAAGAAGTAATTGAGTAAACTATTAATTATAAGGAAGAAAATGTTAACTTTAGAGTAGAGAAACGTGGAAACACCACCCCAGCCAAGTGATCAAAGTTAATATCCTCAGTTATGAGACATACGTCTACCTCATGGCCTCCCTTCCTGCTGTGGCAGCAGGTGCACTGCGAGGAGCATGACATTGTCCTGGCACATTCCTGCCAAAACTGCACAACCTGAATTCAAGCATGAGGGAACCAGACACAGCTGATCCGAGGAGAACTCTGGAAGACAATTGGCCTGCTCGCCTCTAAAATGCCAATGTCGAAAAAAAAAAAAAAAAAAAGGAAGGCGGAGGAACTGTGCCAGGTTAGAGAAGACTAAAAAGCCATATGAACAGTTGCAATGCATTTTGGATTGGATCCTAAATTAACAGGAAACAATGCAATAAACAACATTATTGGAATAGTAGGTGAGGGCTGAATATTAGATAACAGTGTCGCATAAGTTAAATTTCCTGACGTGAATAGCTATACTGTGATTTATATAAAGAAAATCATTGCTCTGAGAAAACATTCTTTTTTTTTTTTTGAGTTGGAGTCTCACTCTGTCGCCCAGACTGGAGGGCAGTGGCCGCTCCCGGCCCCCGCGGCCTCGACCTGCTGGGCTCCGGCGATCCTTCCGCCTCAGCCTTCCGAGTAGCTGAAACTACAGGTGCGCGCTACCACACTCGACTAATTTTTTTGATTCATTGTAGAGATGAGGTCTCGCCAAGTTGCCCAGGAGGGTCTCGAACCCGCGGGCTCAGGCAATCCACTCACCTCAGCCTCCCAAGGCACGAGATTACAGGCTGAGCCACTGAGCCCGATTCTGAGAAGACATTCTAAATACTTCTAAGTATTTGGAAATAAAAGAACTTGATGTCTGCAATTAACTGACTCAGAAAAGTTCTAAATCTACCTCCACCTGAGAAGAGGAGTGACAAAGCAAGCATGGTAAAATGTTTATGGCTGGTGAGGCTGAGCGAAGAGACTGAGGGAAAACCTCATTCGAGTCTTACCATCCTTTGATATCATTTCAAAATTAAAAGATTTTTAAACTCTAATATTAGAGTGCTTGCACACATAACTGCCTTCCTGGCCTCTGCCAAATTCTGTTTTGTGTCAGCTGACCTCAGGGTACTAGGAACTGCAGTGTAGCTTGTGCACTGCATAAATAGTGATTGCTCTGCAAGAGTTAAAGTCAAGGGGATCTGGGGGACAAAATATCATTCATGCAGTTTTTGATCTTTCTACTTATCCCCTATCCATTTATTAGGGGCCAACTCTATGTCAGCTTGTAGAGTCTAAAATATTCTGGCCCTGAATGATTCATGAGAGAAAGTAAGAGGGAGAGACGGGGAGGCAAGGAGGAAGGGAGGCAGACCCATTCACTCCTGGGTCATCTGGAGATCATAAGAGAAGAGACCTATAAAAAGCCTGTGTTGATTCTTCTCACTCAGATAAAATCTGAGTCCTAATTGGCTGTCATGCTCTCATAAATCAGGTTTGATTATTTCTCTTCCTTATTTCTCACATCTAGTCAACAAGTCCAGTCCATATGAGCTCTGAAGCAACTCTAGAGCCTGTCCACTGCTCTCCAGCTCAAGCCATCACCCCCTGAATGACATCAACATTTTCCCACTGGTGCCAGCATATTTATTCTTGTTCTTTCTGCTTATAAAAAGAAAATCTTATCATATCTGCTTAAGTCACCACAGTGACCTCTCCCAGCTCTTGGGCCCAAACCCTTCCCAAGGTCCACTCTACATTCTGTGATCTGCTCCTGCCAAACCCACCATCCTCATGGCTCATCACACCCCCTGAATCCTCCAACCCTTGCATTTTAATCGATGCACTTGCTATGCTGTTCCTTCTTCCCCCAATTCTTGGCTTAGCCAACTCCTTAACAGTTTTTAGGTCTCAGCTTAATCACCCCTTCTTCAGGGCAGTCTGCTCCGATCCTAAGGCTGTGCTAGCAATTCGTGTCAAGTTCTTACGGTACTTTTGTTAATTCATCACAGACAATTACAGTTTCTTTTTCATCACCAGACTGTGAGAACCATGTCTGTCCAACTTCATCCCCATCCCATTATCCCCAGTGCCTAGCAGAGAACATGGCACAGAGTCTACCTTCGCTACGTAATTGTTGAAGGAAAATAGAACGGCATTTAAATGACATCTAAGAAAAGAAAAAAGAAAACATAAAGGCTAACGGGACGCTTGATCTATGTTCTCTGGGTCCCTCACGCTTCAAGAAAATCATGTTAAAATAAGAGAAACCCTTGACTTTTTGCTTCACTTCAATGCCAGAAGTTAGATTTTTCTCGGTAGATTAGAGCTTCTTTTTGTCCTCAATTCTCTTTCCCTCAGTTTTTAAGAGGTTCTGCCTACTTCTGGTAAACAATTCTATGACCCATATTCTTCATGGATTTATTCAACTCTAATCGTATTTCCTCTCAGTCTTTTCAAGCCTGAAGAGTCCTACTTATTTCAGTCTGCCTTCATACAGCAACCCCTCCTCCTCCTCCTCTGTCACATTAGGCACTCTTCTCTAGCCTTACTTCAGTCCCAGTATGCCTTCTCCTACAAGATTAATAACCATAACTACCAACGGCATACTAGATGCCAACACATTACATCCCAGATACATCTGAAGGCTGGCTGATATTGTCTGACTTGTAATGAACTTGTAATAAAGTCTGTCTCTCAGACTCATGATGAGAGTTTTTCTCTGAGATAGATGTCTGTCTGTCTGTATGTACCTAATCCCTCAAAGACGGCCACTGGCTAGCAGCAGTTCAAACTTAGGAGAGGCCTTCCATGTTCAGCTATGACAGGCAACAACACTAGTCATACAGTCTCTCTTACCAGGCTGCTTTGATTTTTGCTAGGAGGAAAGAGGGAGACCCTATTGATGCTCTGGAGCTTCTTATTTTCACTCAGCTCCTCTGCCAGAATTCCTCTGGACTATCTCCCAGAGGAGGACTGGCCGAACTGCCCTGGTCCAAGCTATTATAAATCTTATATGCAAAAGGAAATTGTATATGACTGATTGCTACAGCATCCTGTTTAAAGTATTGACATACCGTTATCACTCAACATATTTTGGCACAACCTCATGTTCATGTTTTTGTTTTTGTTTTAAACCCAGAGTATAAAAGCTTTGTAGCCAAGCCCATTAACATCTATTCTACCTGTTAATTTATTCTAGGTCACCTAAGACACTTCTGACATAAAAGACAATTTAGCAGCGTCATTCAACTCCACTATCTTCATTTATCTTCTCTTTCTATATTTTTACCAGTGCTGTCATCTCCACTCCCATGGTTTCAATCATATAGATGGTAAAGATATCCAAAATGACATTTCCCCCTGTACCTCCCCAATCTCTTTCCTAAAAGCCCAGGCTCTGCAGTTCCAACTTTTCTGGAAGAACTTAAAGTGAAACTGAGTAAATCAAAATCCTCCCCCAAAAACCACAGGATATGGAAATAAGGTTATTTTGGAACATAAAGGCTAGATCGATAGTAATTACAAGGTGAAAATCTTTGAAATAAATCACATACTCTTAGAAGTAAATATGCATTTGAAATGAAGAAAGAAATAAATCCTATGGTGTTTTTAACAGGAATAGTGTGGGATTTTGAGTCAACAAAATAAAACTTTTAAGAGTATTCTACTTCAAATGGGGAAGGAATGTTCACATTTTTTGAGTCAGTTCCTAAAAACCGAAGAGAGTTTTCATTTGTTTTTTGTTTTAAAGCTTAATGAGGCTTTGGATCTTATAGTCAATTTACTTAAAATTACTCATTTTAGCCTCTAGACTATACTGTACCAAAGTTCATTGTGTTTGTCTCCTACAGCAGCTCTCGCATTGTTAGTAGTAAGCCCTTTTCACTGTTGTACAATGCGAAACACAATGCCGTCGGCAGTCCTGACAGCAAGCGGCAAACTCAGGCTTCATTCCCAGGCCAGACACTGAGGCATTGTATAACTCTGTTCAAGCCTCATAAACCTATCCATGCTTCAGTTTCCCCATGATTAACCAGTAACGTTTTAACACTCTCTGCCACTTCCTTTCTTCAGGAGGATGTTATGAGGCATGGGTTCAATGCATTATGCTACTAAGAAAGGTGCCATGAGGGTAAATAATTCTTCATCATGATGCTCATTTTCCCAAGGTATCTTGAGTGACAGTCAGCTTTCTCAAGCAAAGGCTTGACAGCCCAACACACAGCCCAGACTGTAGTACTTCCCCTTCCAGTCCCCAGCAGCCTCCACATGCTCCATATCCCATCCTAGTTCAACCCAAGACACTAACAACACACAACCCTTGGCTCTCCCTTGCAGGAGGAAATAGAGAACAGAGACAGTCTGAATTATAACTATAACCTTGATCGGGGGTTGGGGGAGTGTCACTGACTGCTTCAGTTCACATGGGTCAGTTAGGACTTGTTCCTGTCTAAAAGAACCCAGTGCACCTACCATATTATATCAGGACACAGGATGATTACCCCCTAGCATGTGCCCACAAGCTTCTACCAATGTTGTAAGTGAGGAAACAGAAGGTCAAAGTCTTGAGAGAGGGCAAAGAACAGAATCACCAGTAATAACTCTGCCCACATCACGGACTTTGGACAAATCATATTATTGTATATTCAATAGCTAAAATATGGATTAGCTAAAAAGCAGCAGCAAAAACCTTAAGAATATCTGCTTGCAAAGGAAGATGATCACATGTATTAGCAATACAAATAAGCAAAAGCGAAAACTGCAAGGGTAAAATGAGGATTTGCACTTCAGCCTAGTGACCTAACACCAAAATAGCAAGATCATCTTAAAATGTGCCCATTTCTGTTGGGTATAGTGCCAGACACTCGGTAGGTCTGCCAAAGCACTG